CCCTTTTTTTTCTCAAGACACGAGCAGGACGCTTTGGCAAATAGGTATGCATCTATTTTGGTATATATTATCAGTGCCGAATGGACCCTGATTTCAATCACATGTTTATATGCACGTGTGCATAGCTGGCTGGATGTACAACGCACAAATGCATCTCTGAAAATTACAGCGGCGAACCATACATACACCAACTCCACTCTCAAAACTGTAGTCAGCATCTTATTCTCTCTATAGTTTAGGCGTCTCCTTTCAACATCTCTGTCATCTCCATTTAAGGATATTTTCAGCGGTTTATCACTGCCATCTCCAGCCCTGCGCATTTCCAGCAGGTTATCCCAATAGCCACCTCCCAGCCCCCGATATGTTCTGCAGATCGCCATCAGTGCCCTCAGATATTTGGTGCGGATTCCCAGCCCTCCAATAACCACTCTTAGGACATCTGGAGCAGATCAAAATCACTGACTTCATTCTTAGCAGTCAGGTTAAAGCTTTCACATATCCTCTCTGCAAACAGACCCTTGAGTCAATTCCTGAAGAACCAGCCTTTAGTTAAAATTCGGCCAAGCAGCGACCCCTATGTCTGGATTTGCATTTCTTATCGGACCTCGATCTACACTGATTTGTTAATAATAATTAAAAAAAGACAATCTCTTGGCAGTGGATGCACCGCCTTGAAAAAAAACTAGAAGGATCCCACTGTTTTAGGCAAACTCATTCTCAGAATGGCTTTAAAAAAACACTGTGGTTTATCTGCTCGCTGATCTTTGAATTATAGAAGCGTGACCATTTAGGTCGATTTGTTTTAAATAGTATACAATTTATTTGAGGCAATTACTGTAAGTATAATCACAGCAGAACCAGGACTGGTACCCATTTTCCTCGTGCTTGTTTTCATATGTAAATCCGCTCTCCAATGGAAAGGTGACCGTGTTTTTTACTCTAATCCCAATTCCTTTCTTTGCTACATGACTGATTGTTCGCGTCGTTAAAATGTGTTTAGCTAATGAATTGGCATTGTACTCTTTTTGTTAGGATTTTGTCGAAAGTTAAGGAGACATCCAAACAATGCAAACACAGGATTTTAGAACTAGGCTGATTTTTTTAACGAGACGTTTGTTGGAAAAGAAAAAAACCTCTAAGAAGCCAGCATTTTAATTCCATCTAGTTAACAATTGCAGGTTGATTAGTGGGGGAAGATCTCGCCAACCTTTTTGATGGTTTTGGACTACTTTGGGTACAGAAGAAGAAGTGTCTGTTGCTCTTAATAGTTGCTGCTGATGTCCGTAATTTTCCGTAGTTTTGTTGTTTGTGAATTTTGACTGTGTTTAAGCCTCTGCTCTGGGTCTTGTACGGGGAAAATAAACCCCAAATCTCCTAGACTTTCGCTAAAATGATTTTGAAGCTAAGTAGCTTAGTGTGGGCGCTCTGGTCCCAGCTCACTTGCACTGGGAGGGGGAATGAATAAAAAAGGTTTGAAAGGTTGGCTAGTGGTCTGACTTAAACTGTCATAAAATGGACAATACCCAATATGCCAGCACGACCCACATCCTACTGGTGGGTGTGTAACACAATTGAGAACAATTAATGGCGTTCGCGAGACACTGCTCTCAGCTGTTACCCTGATAACTTTGCGGACCAGAAACGAAACTCTTCCGTCAACCTTGAAACTTCCCTAATCTTTGGGATTTTTTAAAAAGACGTGCTTGTTTGCAACAGTTTCCCGAATCTCCCGGCCTTTCCCCCTCAGTTGTTTTTAATTTCCATATAAGAAATTATGGCAAAACTCTGCCCGAGAAGATGCTGGGGGAACGAAGAGCACGCGACATAATTTTCTGAAATTTTGAGTTCAGGATGGGAAGGGGAGGAGAGATGGGGTGATTCACATTTCCTAATCCCTCCCCCCCCCAAACTGGAAACTTCTCTCGGTGCACATTCCAGCCACATCTGAAGCGCTAAGGAGATTTCGGCTTGTCCCACCTTTATTTACACGCACTCTTGTAATGTCACACATTTCAGATCGCAAAGCGCGGCTGTACTTTTCTGCGACCGTTTACCTTTGTTACCGCGTGGTGCTTGGGGCTTTGATGGCTCTCCTGGTTAGAGGGGTTTTGTTCTTCTCCACCATTTGAGACTGGTAGTGGAGGGGGTGGGGTCACTATCCCCAAATGGGAGAGAGGAAGTTTAACCAACTCCTAGATGGAAAGATTTCCTGGAGGGTGGGAAGGGTTGGCCAGGGAAGGAAAAAGCAGGGGAAAGGCAACACTTTAAAGACACTGGGCACTTGTAACCATTATTTCTTTCTTAGCTTTAATGATATTAGTGGCTCGTTGGCAGATCCGGCAGAGACAGAGGGTAAAACGGGCATATGCACTAGTACAAATGTTTTATGGGTTGGGATGTTATAAATAAATGCCCAGATCAGGAATTCTTGCTTAGAATACGTGGCCGCCATAAGGTTGGAAAGTAAACGAGTTTACTGCAAATGCTTTCTTTAAAAAAAATCAGTGTGACTTTCTTAAAACAAAGGGGTGTGCAAGTCCAGGTCCAAATGGTTCTTTTTGCCTTTCTTTCCCTGGTCGTTCGTGTCAGGCAAAACTTCACGCTCACTTCCTTTTCCTTCATAACAAAGAAAGGAGCTTGGGCTGGAGTGTTCGCACCAGACTCAGTCTGGGCAATTGTGGAGCGGGGGTTGGTGGAAGCCCCCCCCCCAACTTCCCCCCCCCCCCTCCGCCCTGCTCCCTGTGCCCTGTGTGTGTGGGGAGGCTGGGATTAGCCCAGGTGAGTTCGCCTTGTGCTTCCTTCTGGCGCTGTTCTAGCTTTCCTGGGCACAAGGAACAGAGCGTCTCTTGATGGGACCTGCCTGCGAGGGGGAAGCTCTCGGGATCCCTGCCCTGAACAGAGGGCCGAGGGGGACTCGCGGCGGCGTGGCGGAGCAGGGCAAGCCGCCTTAGGAGCGTGTGAACTAGGAGGAGGTGGCCAGGAGTTGAGAGGAGCCGGGCGCTGCCAGACAAGGCGAGAGGCGCCCTTAGGAGAGCGGGGAGCGGAGAGGACGAGTGGAGGCTTCATTAGCCAAGTGGGAGGGCAAAGGAGCGGCCGGAAGCCCCTGGACCTGGCATCCCGCCGCGGGTCTTCGGGGCTCGCCAGTGCGCAGGGATGCGGGAGGGGCGGGAGTCCCGCGGCAGAAAAGGGAAAGTTAGTTCCACCGCAGCCCGGCCGTGCTCAGGCGAACGCGCTGCTCGGGCGGGCAGGCGGGGCCACGTCTCCCCCCCCGAGAGGAGCCGACAGCTCGCCACCAGCACTAGTTTCCTGAAGGCGGCCGAGTCTCCAGCTGCTTCAGCACGCAGGGTCCTGTCCCTCCTGCTGCGGAGCTTGTAACCGAGACAGGAGGCGGGGGCAAAAAAAAAAGAGGGTTTTAAACCTAACAACAGCGCCCTTCCCACCCCTCCTTTCCTCTGCGTCTCTCCCAGGCCCCGGAAAGTTTGCAGCCGACAGGACAGTCCAGTGACGCGCTCCTGGGGCTTTGCCTCACGCGTGTGGCTGATGCTGCGGGCATTGTCACTGAATGTCCCTCAGGTGGGATGCCGAGGGGCCAGTCGAGTGGTGGTTTTGGCTAAAGGTTTCCGGGGAGAGCGGCTCGAAAAGGCAGCCCCTAATATGGCCTAGGGGGCGTTGTGTTGACCGCTGTCGTGAGCAGATGGGGTGTGTTAAATTGTTCCCAGCCGGGTGGCTGCAAAGCCCCCTTTCTTGCCACGCCACTCTCATTTGTTCCTGAGGCTGGCGACGACAAGGGGGACTCAGTGTTAAAGGTGGAGGGAAAAAAAACGCAGCAGCACAGTTGTTTTTTTGTTAAAAGGGGACACACTACGGCTGCAAAACAGCAAAACCCCAATGTTGGACAACTGTAAAATCGTGTAGACAGGTTGTCATACAGCAGTGGGGGCTTTTCTGAAAGGAGCCCATTGCTAAAAATTAAATACACACAC